CTTTCATCCTTCTTCTCTTTCGCTCTAGTTGCTGCGTGCTGCTGGCGTCGTCCAGAAACTCGGGGGTTCGTGGAGCGGCTCCGTCCACTCAGTGAAGTTTGTCACTGCACGACAAAGCTCGGCGCCGCACTCAGCGGCAGCGGCGCTGCGGAAGCAACCGATGCCAGCAATGATGGCATCTCCTCACCCGCCACCATCCCAAGCCTGAGGAATTTTTCCTCATCATTGCCGTTGCAGCTGTCGACGAGGTCTTCGGTGATGCCCTCCGACGGGATTCCGCTTCGAGCCAAGAACGACACGGGGCGCTTCTCAGCGTCGGCGCAGCGCCGCTCACGCTCCTTTTGCCAAGCTAGACTTCGCCAGGAGTGCCTCGAAGATGATATTCTCCTCCGCTGTAAGCTCGCGCGGCCTGCAGTCGTCACCAGCTGCCATGGCCCGCTCCAGCGGAGCCGAGGTGGACGGGCTCAGAGCCATGCACGCGCCGCAGCGCCTCAAGCGTCGCCTCCTCCCGCCCAGAGTACTGCTGCAGATGCATGCAACACTGCGGCACAGTGGGCGGGGCGTAGTGCGCGTAGAACGCGCGCAGTCGTCGCAGGTGGTAGTAACTCATCCTTCTGAATATATCATTGGCATGGGCCGCCTCCCGTGGCGCTGGCGAGGCCGTGCCGTTGGTCCCACACCTTTGCATCGTTTTGCCACAGAAGCCTCGTCTTATCGCCTTCCTTTCTCATTGTTTCTCTTTTGATTTTTTTTTTTGCCTGTGAAGATCAACAAATGGTAATACAGAGCACGTATCCTTTCAATTAACCGGAGCAATGACTGCTGCTGCTGGTAGTGGTGTTGCTACTGGGACCAGAGGCCTGCCCGTCGCCGTCCACAGCAGCGGGCGCGCGGAAAGGAATGCGTTCGTCACCCCAATGCATGTGTGGATTGAGAGTAGCGTACGGCTGCAGCGCCGCCCCCTTCCCGCCTGTGAGAAAACACAACCGAGAGGCAAACGACCACAAAAAAAAAACTAAAAGGAAGAGTCACCCTCTCACATTTCCTCCCCTCCATGTTGCTATGCGCTCTGTGAATGCCGCGACGACCTGCCACATCACGCGTTCTTCTGGTGCGGCTGCGGGGCGGTATGCACAATGGGCTCCTTGCCGAATTCAACCACGAGGCTGCTGCTAAACCGGAGACCGTGGCGCTTCAGCCACTGCCCCACCGTCTCCTCAGTGCCGAAGAAGTTCTGATGTGCGTAGTTGCCCTCCGCACCGCTGCACGCCACGAAGTGCCGCGCCACGTCCGTCAGCGTACTGGCGGACACCTCCGCCGCCGCGTTGACGCGACTCACGGCGACGACGCCGGCGACACGGCCCACGTCCGGCACGTCGAGCGTTCCGTGCGTGTAGGAGCCGATGGCAATGTGCTCCGCGACGTGCGGCGCCACCCGCAGAGGCTCCACCAACTTAATCGTCATGTTCTCGCCGAGGACGGCGATGGACGAGCGGAGATCCTCCGCGGTGACGTCGACGAGGAACTGCTGAGCCACCGCGGGATCCGCGAGGATGCCGCCCCTGCTCTCCACGATCTTCGACTGTAGTGCTGCCTTCACCTTCGCGCAGGCGTTCTGGAACTGCGGGCTGCGCGCGGCGAAGTCCGTTTCGCTGCAGACGGTGATGACGGCCGCGCCAAACGTGCCGCCGATGCATGCTACGACGCTTCCCTGCTCCGTCACACGCGACCGCTTCTTCATAGCGGTGGCGGACCCCTTCTTGCGCAGCAGCTCCATTGCCTTCTCCATGTCGCCGCTCGCCTCCTTCAGGGCGGCACTGCAGTCCGCAATGGGCGCCTCTGTACGAAAGCGAAGATCTCTCACCAACTCAACGAAGGCATTCTTGCCGACCCCCGCTCGCAGACGCGTTTGACACAGCATACTCTCTTTCTTTCCCTTTGGCTTGTATTGTATATATATATATATATATATATACAATGTGTGTGGATGTGTGTGTGTTTGTGTTTGTGTGGCGTGCCGCCCAAGATCCCAGCCCTTATCCTTACTGTCTTCCCTTCAAAAGAGACAAAGATGGACAAATGTACAACGGCCGCACAGAACCTCAGGCAGTGCCCACGACAGAGCCCAGTTAGAGACATTGTCTCCGACTATTTGACATCTATATATATATATATATATATGTCTACCACGCCTACTGGGCATGGTCTCCCAACCACTTCCACCCAAACCCTCACAAAAGAACGTACGCAGACGATGGCATCTGCCATCAGTTAGGGAAGAGGCCCAGAGCAACCCAGTAGTTCAGGCTGTCCTCCAGCAGCTCCTTCGTCACCTGTGGACAACTACACTGGAATCCCAGCGCCCGCAGCTTTCCTCCATCCACTGTCAGCGGATTGTTGTAAAGCAGCTCCGGCTCCAGGTATGGGGTGAGGGGAGTAACAGCGATACCGCACTCCTTCAGCATCTCTGACCATGGTCCCATGTGTCCGTCGTTGGCCTCCTCCACAAGTTCCTCCAACTTAATGGATGCCAAATTCGACGTGATAGCGCCGTAGAACCCTGTTTTAACTTTGAACATGGATTCGAGAACGCTGTTCAGTATTCCCTGCGTCGTGTCACCGTCATCCACAATGTTATACACTTCATGGATGGAACCGGCGCAGACAATATGCCATATAGCTGCTGCGGCATCCTGCACATGTGCGGTGTGCATTCGCAGATCCTTGCCCCATAGAAACTCCATGCAGATTCCTGTGTGTTCGTACACCGCAGCACAAACGATACGTGGCATGAGACCACGAATATCTCCGGGGCCGTACACGATAGGTAGCCGTACAATCACCCACGGAAGCTGCGGGCTAGCGGCGATGAACTTCTCAGCCTCAAGATGATACTTTCCCATAGTCGTCCAAGGCCTCAGGCGTGTGTCAGACTCTCTTGATGGGGAGCTGTTGCTGGATTCGTACACTTGTGCCGTGCTCACCTCCACATACCGCTCGCAGCCACCGACAGCCAAGGCCTTTTGCGCGCAAAGAGTCCGCAACCGCAGGATGCTTCGCTCATACATGGTATCAAAGTGTCCGTACTGAGTCTCGCTGGCAAAGTTAACGATAATGTTGAATGGCTCCCCAGCGAAGGAGCGATCAACGTGTTCTTGAACAGACAGGTCAGCCTGCTGGACCTCAACGTACGGCAGTGCAAGAAGGCCCTTGTACGCCGGCGTGAGAAAGCACATCTCCGGCACCCGCTTGTCCACCACACGGACGTGGGAGGCGAGTTGGTTATCCGTTATGTACTTTAGGAGGTTGCGGCCGATCATGCCCAGGCCCCCAAGAAGAAGCACACGTGGGCCCTCCGGCATCTGTATGCGGCCGCCAATGCACACTTCAAGTTGACTGTTGGCGGTGGGAATGCAATGGAACGTTTGCAATTCCCTTTTTTGTTTTCTCCTTTTTGTTTGCCTACTGGAAAGCCTTCGGCGGTAGAGATGAGGATGGAAGAAGAATGAACAGCCCGCAACAGGTATAGAGAGAGAAAGAGACTGAAGGACGCAGGTCACACGCTCCGCCAACATGGAGAGGCAGTCAAAAACGGAAGGAAAACGCACGCGCGCAGAGACTCACCGTTCCACAAGGGCACTTGTAAACACCCATAGAAGTAATTAAGAAAACAGGAAAGCCCCCTAATGAAATCACATGGGCACGCAAGACTATACATGGAATCATCTTTTCGCTACTGAGATAAAGAGAATCGTTTTTTAATGGTGTTTTTTGTCCCCTCAATCACACAGACACACCAAACTCCAAAAAGACATAAAAAATATATCACATCCCTTATTCGCGCAATCCACTCCTTGCGCCCATCGAATGGGTAGACCTTTTCGTGCTCTGCCCACCCTTCGCTGCGAGGCTGTACTTTGTCGCCAGATATAACTGCTCCGCCTCGAGTGGCCTGTACAGCTCCTCCTCCAGGAGCGGGCGCCAGAAATCCGCTGGGCAGCCCTCTTCGAGCCACTGCTCGTATGACACGGGCCCACGCCGCTGCTGCAGCGCCGAGTCTTCCACCTCAGTGGTTGGCTCCGGTGTCTTTGGCGCCGCCTCCACAGCGCTGCAGCTGTCCATAATCCTCTCCGGCGGCTGCATCAGATGCAGTCGGTGCGCCACGTTAGGTGCGTCAAGGGCTAAGAGGGCGGCTTTTCGCTGGCGGGTCTCCAGCAGTGCGCGGGCGCGGTTGCGGCGGTCCTGTACATTCAAAGCTAGTGCCGTGACGACTCGTCGATGGCGAGAAGCCTGTGGCATCCCAGCCCACTTCCTATTTTTGTTTTCGCCACCGATTACCGAGCCCCTCGTCACATGTTTAACAAAAAGTCCAAAGAAAAGAAAAAGCACACAGGATGCAGAAAATGATAGCATGCATTCGCCACTGCGAACATTAGCGTGCAGACCTCTACTGCATTGTTGGTGTTGCTGTTCGTTCTTGCCATTTTTTTTCCTGAATAACAGGTGTTTGGGTAGATGAGGCTACTGCACCCTGTCGCAAACACGCGGCTCTCACTCAACCTAATATGAGCAAGTTGGGAGTGAATAGCAATCGCTCTCCCTCTCTCTTTTGCGCCGTACCCATTCTTTATCCTGTCGGGTTTCCCTGCATATATATATATATATATATATATGTGTGTGTATTTGTGTGTGTATGTGTCCGCTAGTGCATAGCTGTGACCTGCGCAGATGATGTTTTGTGCGTGTGTGTGTGTGTGTG